ATATATATATATATATATATTATTATATATATATATATATATATTATATATATATATATATATATACACAGTGGACCCCCGCATAACGATTACCTCCGAATGTGACCAATTATGTAAGTGTATTTATGTAAGTGCGTTTGTACGTGTATGTTTGGGGGTCTGAAATGGACTAATCTACTTCACAATATTTCTTATGGGAACAAATTCGGTCAGTACTGGCACCTGAACATACTTCTGGAGTGAAAAAATATCGTTAACCGGGGGTCCACTGTATATAAATATTTTTTTTTTTTTTTTCAACAAGTTGATCGTCTCCCACCGAGGCAGGGTGACCCAAAAAAGAAAGAAAATCCCCAAAAAGAAAATACTTTCATCATCATTCAACACTTTCACCACACTCACACATTATAACTGCTTTTGCAGAGGTGCTCAGAATACAACAGTTTAGAAGCATATACGTATAAAGATACACAACATATCCCTCCAAACTGCCAATATCCCAAACCCCTCCTTTAAAGTGCAGGCATTGTACTTCCCATTTCCAGGACTCAAGTCCGACTATATGAAAATAACCGGTTTCCCTGAATCCCTTCACTAAATATTACCCTGCTCACACTCCAACAGATCGTCAGGTCCCAAGTATCATTCGTCTCCATTCACTCCTATCTAACACGCTCATGCATGCTTGCTGGAAGTCAAAGCCCCTCGCCCACAAAACCTCCCTTACCCCCTCTTTCCAACCCTTTCGAGGACGACCCCTACCCCTCTTTCCTTCCCCTATAGATTTATATGTTTTCCATGTCATTCTACTTTGATCCATTCTCTCTAAATGACCAAACCACCTCAACAACCCCTCTTCTGCCCTCTGACTAATGCTTTTATTAACTCCACACCTTCTCCTAATTTCCACACTCTGAATTTTCTGCATAATATTTACACCACACATTGCCCTTAGACAGGACATCTCCACTGCCTCCAACCGTCTCCTCGCTGCTGCATTTACCACCCAAGCTTCACATCCATATAAGAGTGTTGGTACTATTATACTTTCATACATTCCCTTCTTTGCCTCCATAGATAACGTTTTTTGACTCCACATATACCTCAACGCACCACTCACCTTTTTTCCCTCATCAATTCTATGATTAACCTCATCCTTCATAAATCCATCCGCCGACACATCAACTCCCAAGTATCTGAAAACATTCACTTCTTCCATACTCCTCCTCCCCAATTTGATATCCAATTTTTCTTTATCTAAATCATTTGATACCCTCATCACCTTACTCTTTTCTATGTTCACTTTCAACTTTCTACCTTTACACACATTCTCAAACTCATCCACTAACCTTTGCAATTTTTCTTTAGAATCTCCCATAAGCACAGTATCATCAGCAAAAAGTAACTGTGTCAATTCCCATTTTGAATTTGATTCCCCATAATTTAATCCCACCCCTCTCCCGAACACCCTAGCATTTACTTCTTTTACAACCCCATCTATAAATATATTAAACAACCATGGTGACATTACACATCCCTGTCTAAGACCTACTTTTACCGGGAAGTATTCTCCCTCTCTTCTACACACCCTAACCTGAGCCTCACTATCCTCATAAAAGCTCTTTACAGCATTTAGTAACTTACCACCTATTCCATATACTTGCAACATCTGCCACATTGCTCCTCTATCCACTATCATATGCCTTTTCTAAATCCATAAATGCAATAAAAACTTCCCTACCTTTATCTAAATACTGTTCACATATATGCTTCAATGTAAACACTTGATCTACACATCCCCTACCCACTCTGAAACCTCCTTGCTCGTCCGCAATTCTACATTCTGTCTTACCTCTAATTCTTTCAATTATAACCCTACCGTATACTTTTCCTGGTATACTCAGTAAACTTATTCCTCTATAATTTTTACAATCTCTTTTGTGCCCTTTCCCTTTATATAAAGGGACTATACATGCTCTCCGCCAATCCCTAGGTACCTTCCCCTCTTTCATACATTTATTAAACAAAAGTACCAACCACTCCAACACTATAAGAGGGCCTGGGGATGTGACTAACGAACAGAGAACTTGTTATTTTAGTGCCAGGAATGTCTTTCTTGTTTATTCTGGACTCTATTCGGAAATTGGCATCTTTTGAAATTTGTGTTGACGACATTCTCCTCATAACTCCTAGATGCTTCAACGTTCAAGCTCTCCAAGACATGCTCAACCAGGTCGAGCCCTTAATCCAGTTCACACTTGAAGAAGAAATCGGCAACACTCTTCCTTTCCTTGATGTTCTTCTCTGCAAAGCTGACCACGAACTTCGTTTTAAAGTCTATCGAAAACCCACCAACCAAAACGATCTTCTCCACTTCTACTCTCACCACGACACCAAAACTAAACGTGGTGTAATTATAGGCTTCTTCCTGCACACACTCAGAATCTGCAGCAATGAGTTTCTTGAGGAAGAATGCACTATAATTGAACAAGTATTTTCTAAACTCCACTATCCTCATCTCTTCATCATAGACTGCAGACGACGAGCATTAAACATCTTCAACACACCCAGGGAAGACACTGCCGAGAAGAGATACATAGTCCTCCCCACCAACTCCATTGCCAAACACGTTTCCAACATCTTTTCCAGTACCTCATTCCAAGTATCTACCTCCACAACCACGACAATCGAGGACATTACCTGTAATAGACAGGACAAGCTTCCATCCTCTGCAGGGGTATACATAATCCCTTGTAATGACTGCAGCAAATTATACGTGGGCGAAACATCAAGGGACCTCCAAACACGTATTTCAGAACACCAATACGCAAGCAGGTTTGACGATACAAGGAATGCCTGTGTACAACACCGTAATTCACACAACCATTTAATAAACTACAGAAACTCAAGACTTATCACCACAGAAGACAACACTTAATACCGAAGAATCCTGGAATCATCGCTTATCTCTATATCCGACAACTTCAGCCAGAATAATGGATTCTATAACACAGCTGAACCACTTGCCAAGAAACTTCTTCATCGCTATCCCACATAAGAGCATAGGAATGGACAAACACTTCAGAAGGTCTGCTCACAAACTTACCCAATCTCCCTTGCAAGCTACCCAAGATTTAAGACTATAACCCCACTCTGTACATCATCAGCTGCAGCATTCTCCACCTGACCTCAACATTCTGGACCTGACTATAAATACTCGCATACCTTCCACCCCAGGTAGATCTGTTTGTGACTTGAAAAAGCCCACTGTGTGGGCGAAACGTTGTCAATAAAGGATCACATTATATTGCATGTGTGTTTATATTTCCATTGTGTCGGTATTTTATACCATTTATTTCCAATGACAATGTTGTCCCATTTTAGGAAAATTTTTAACCCTTTCAGGGTCCAGAGGCCAAATTTCGAAGTGCACACAAGTGTCCAAGAATTTTCAAAAAATAATTTTGTTATTTTTTCTTATGAAATGGTAGAGAATCTTTTTCTGATGGTAATAAAACAAAAAGCAGGAAATTGATGGAAAATTTATGAAATTATGCTCTCATGAATTTTGATGTGTCAGCGATACTTACGCATCGGCGATTTTGCCAACTTTGACTCCCATTTTAGGCCAATTACCTTATTCCAGTCGACCAAATTCTTAGCTATTTCACTAGTATTACTTCTATTCCATAGACTGAGAACAAGAAATTGCCAACTCAACTGTGTCAACTACAAAATAAAGTGATTAGAAATTGGTAATTTGGCCAATATAGTGCAAAGTTCAAAATATTCCAATTTCAAAATAGGGTCCAGAATAAACAATGCAGGCATTCCTGACACTAAACTAACATTTCCTCTGTTCATTAGTTACATTTTCAGGCTTTACAAATGAATTCCATTTTGATTTTTAATTTACATAATTAAATTTTTTTTTCAAGCCAAATAAATAAAGATTTACTGTCATGCAATATTGTAATAATTATATGAATATCAGCACATTTGTGAACGTATATTAGACCCACCAGCTGGTGTGTATTAGACATGTGAGGTCATTTGTTTACTCTTGAACACCAGCAAAAATATAACATTTCCGCTACTTTGAGCTCAGTTTGAAGCCACTTTCAGTACTAAAACCAATCAAAATTATCTCTATTTCTGTAGTATATCTTCCATTCTATCAAATGAGACCAAGAAATCACAAATACAACTATAAAAAACATACAAAAAACACTGCAAAGTTGCCGTTATGATCGAAAATTATGGTCTCAGTTTTTTTTTCTCTCATTGTGCAGTGTGTGCTGCAGGATTTGTTTTATGTGGTGCACACATACCACATAGATGTATTCTCTCATATCTAGGCCCAAATTTACCACTCACAGCTTATCAGAGTGAGCTGAGCTGATGGCGTAGATCTACACTATGGACCCTCAACGTAAAGCCATAGATCTACGGCACAGACCCTTAAAGGGTTAAAGAGATGCCAGAAACAGCTCTCTGGACAGATATTTAGTGCCACAGGTGTGCAGTGACTCGAGCTGTCCTAGTGGCATTAAAAAACAAAGAAGGGAAATAACCCCAGAAAAGGACTTGGTACCGGCAGTCTTTATGGAAGGGGATTCTCCTTCCAAACAATATTACACCTCCATCCTCTTCCCTCCTTCTGTCTCATCACTCATCAATAAGTCTTCAATAAAGGTAAGTGTCATTTTAGTATTGTTTATTCTGCATGTCTCATTGTTTTCTGTGTAGGGAAATGTATATTTCATGTAAAAAAAATTATTTTGGTTAATACTTTTGGGTGTCTGGAACGGATTAATTGGATTTCCATTATTTCTCATGGGGAAAATTAATTCGGATTAAGTCAGATTCGGTATGAGACTCTCTGGAACGGATTAATTACGTTAACCAAGGGTCCACTGTACGGACTATTCAAATATGAGCACATCTTAACACTGAAAATTGGTCATGAGATAGTAATGAAGTCTTCAAATATGACATACCTTCACTCTGAACTGGAACTGCCTAAATGCCTCTACAAAGGGCATTCCCTCAATATCTCCAATGGTACCTCCTAACTCTATAATGCATACTTCTGGATCCGCCAAGTCTCCATCAACAGGTCGCTGTGCCACTGTTTCTACCCATTCCTGGATAGCATCGGTGATGTGGGGTACAACCTAAAAAAAACACATCAGACTTCTCAATTTGCCAATATTGAAATTTTTTACCTAATGCCTTACAAGTTTTAATACTTCACCACACCATTCCACTTTTTTAGAATCACAATAAAACTACATAAATATAAGTTATTAAAAACAAAAACAAAAAAAAAAAAATTAGAAGACAGATAGGATGCATATTTAAATGATGACCCACAATGGTACTAAGAACTGTTCACTTTAGAGCAAAGGAACCTAATAAGTAAAATAAATCTTCAGAGGCCCTAAAGAAAACTTATCTGTATAAAAAATGACATTACTTGTAACCCTAAAATTAGTGGACAGACAGCATTTACAAGATCTAAACAGCAGCTAAAGTACTTCAAGTCAATCAACCTACAGTATCTTGGTCTCTGCTTAATTTACATACCTGCACAGTTTTGCCTAGATAATCTCCATGACGCTCTTTGTTGATAACAGACTGATAAATCTTGCCAGTAGTAATGTTGTTATCTCGGTGTAAAGTAACATCCAGGAATCTTTCATAATTGCCCAAATCAAGATCCACTTCTCCTCCATCATCCAATACAAAAACTTCACCTACAAATGCAAACTATTTTTCATCCACAACACAGCTACAAAATTTTCAAATAAATTAATTACAAAGGCCTAAGTACATACCTTGAAACTGTATATTCAAAAGTTTTCACATCACAGTATAATGAGTATGGTGATAGGTGCCAATTAAAGTGTACATGGAAAAAATACCATATTTTCACTACCCTAGTGTGCATCACTAGTCCACAGTAGTTTGAGATGGTTGTGGCCAATAGTGCCAAAGGCCTTCTGCAAATCAATAAACACTGTTTTCCAAGCAGATTTTTTTTTTTTGTTCTTACTAAGTGATGTGTAGGATCATTACTATTTTTATAGCACTTTTTGTGCTATAATAAGGATTAGAAATGGGTTTCGTTATGTGGGAGACTGATGTGGCTGTGTAATTTATTTAGTTTTTTCTCTTTAGTGCCTTGTGAATGGAGGTCACCATAGCTTTTTTGAAAAAGTTTAGGAAGGTCTGGGATTTACTGAAGAGTACTGTATCTTGTATAAATCTTATTACATAACTGATAAACAAGTAATTTAAAAAAACATGAGCAAACACTAGAACATGTTAGAAAAAGTTTTGATCCTGGAACACTGATTACTTCTAACATACAAGGGTCAAGAAAGACAGTATAATAGGCATAAAAGTGAAGTGAGAGGCAGTTAGTGACCAGACTAAAAAACATAGGAGGTTTCTTGAAGTCACGCTTGTCTGTGGAGTTGCCTGATTCTCATTGTGTTAAGTGGGTAAGGCTTAAGTGGGCATACTTGATTCTCAAGCAGGATATGTTCTACCCATCCTACAATATGGGAAGCATGTGACTATTAACACCTTTAGGTCATCTCAAGGAAAATCGCTTTTTCTTCTGTCAGGTCACTACCTGCCTCTCGCCTCTCACTTTTATGCATGTACATACTGTAACCCTTGGTTCTTGTATACTAAAGTCATCAAGGTCCTAGGTCCTAATGTTTGTTCACGTGTCTTTTTAACCCTTACACTATCTAAACATAGCTCTACGTTTTCTCCCCCAGTGCTAGGAATATTTTTTTTTTTTTTAAATTACAGAGGGCAATTTTCTGTGTTATAAGACAAAAAAAAAATTTAGGACCAGTACCTACCGAGATATAAGACCGCAAATTTGGCGCTGGATGCTCACCTGACGGCAACATTGAGTCCTGCCGATTGCAGAAGTGTTGCCAATGCACCTTTTTTTCTCTTCATTTTAATTTGTATAATTTTCTTGTTCTGATAATTACAATTTATAACAGTTCTTGTGATTTCATAGCCAACCACTAATATTAGGTACTGAAATAATACAGTAGGACCCTGCATTATGGCGTTTCGCTTTATGGCGTTCCGCTAATACGGTCATTACAAATTATGACCAAAACTCTATATGGCTCCCCACACCTGACTTTCTAATATGGTCACCGTGCCCCACCCTGTTTATTTACATTCTATGTTAGATCTGTAAGCACTAAGTCTCTCCATTATATCTGAAAACTCCAAAATTTCAAGTGTTTTTAAAAGTTATTTCATATTTTATACTCTGATAATTATACTTATGTATACCTGAACCTAAATAAATTTACATACTGTGCTGGCATGCAGGTACACATTAAAATCAGTAAGAGTGCCTTATGTCTCGAGACATCATATTAGTAACGATAATAATCACCAAGCCTCATTAAATGTTGTATATTACGTTAATATACATATTTTCATTAACCCTTAAATGGTTCAAGCGTATATATACATTTTTTCAACCTCTGAAAGTATGTAAAAAAATGTAGATCCTCTTTTTCGTTTTACATTTGAAAATGTGTAAAAAAAAACTTTTATCTACATTTTTTTTTGTTATATTTGAAAACATGTAAAAAAAAGTAGATCTACTTTTGTAGCACTACAAATTTCAACATTCATCTGTTTGGACCGTTTAAGGGTTAATCCATCTATGATATTTTTTCAAAATTATATAATAAACACGATACATAACATATAATGATGATAAATACACCCCACAGTAGAATAAATAAACATAAATATGAGATGCTGTAGCAGACGACTTGCACAAGTGACGCCATATTAGAAATGATAATCCTAGGTAGTAGGTTGGTAGACAGCAACCTCCCAGGGAGGTATAACCGTCCTGCCAAGTGAGTGTAAAACGGAAGCCTGTAATTGTTTTACATGATGGTAGGATTGCTGGTGTCCTTTTTTGTCTCATAAACATGCAAGATTTCAGGTACATCTTGCTACTTCTACAGTGGACCCCGGTATTCGATGGCATCGGTATTCGATAAATCCAGTATTCAATGCATTATATCGCAAAAAAATTTCCTCAGTATTCGATTGAAAACCACGTGTGGCCTGAACTGCCCCGTGTGTGCCAGTGTTTACAAGCCAGCCAGTGTGCGCGCATCTAAGGATACATTCGGTACATTCCATATTATCCATATTATCACTGTGTTTGGTGCTTGTTTCCGCAAAATAAGTCACCATGGGCCCCAAGAAAGCTTCTAGTGCCAACCCTGTGGTAAAAAGGGTGAGAATTAGTATGGAAATTAATAAAAGATTTTGAAGGGTTTGGGGCTAACCCTGAGAAGCCTATGCCAGTTGTGGACTCCATTGTGCCTACTTCAAAAATTAAGGAAATGTGTGCACAGTGGGTTGAAGTGCAAACCTTTATGGATGAAAATCACCCTAACACAGCTATTGCAAGCCTTGCTGGTGACTATTACAATGACAATGTTGTGGCCCATTTTGGACAGATTTGTTGTGCGACAGAGGTCCAGTGACTCTCAAGCTGGTCCTAGTGGCATTAAAAGAAGAAGGGAAGTAACCCCAGAAAAGGACTTGCTACCTCAAGTCCTAATGGAAGGGGATTCCCCTTCTAAACACTAACACCTCTCCCCTCCTCCTCCCATCCCATCAATCATCACCAGATCTTCATTAAAGGTAAGTGTCAATTATTTTATTGTTATTGTAATTATTCTATTGCATTAAACTTAATATTTCATGTAGTAAAATTTTTTTTTTTTCATACTTTTGGGTGTCTTGCACAAATTAATTTGATTTCCATTATTTCTTATGAGGAAAATTGATTCGGTTCTCGATATTATCGGTATTCGATGAGCTCTCAGGAACAGATTAATATCGAATACCGGGGGTCCACTGTACTTACACTTAGGTCACACTACACATACATGTACAAGCATATATATACACACACCCCTCTGGGTTTTCTGCTATTTTCTTTCTAGTTCTTGTATTTGTTTATTTCCTCTTATCTCCATGGGGAAGTGGAACAGAATTCTTCCTCCGTAAGCCATGCGTGTTGTAAGAGGCGACTAAAATGCCGGGAGCAAGGGGCTAGTAACCCTTTCTCCTGTATATACAGTGGACCCTCGACCAACAATGGCATCGAATAATGTTAAATCCGACTAGCGATACATTTTAACGCAAAAATTTTGCCTTGACTAGCGCTAAAAAACTCGACCAACGCGATTCGTTCTGTTCGAGACGCGTCCAAGTGTGGCCTGCGCAGTGTTTACAAGCCAGCCACCACGGTTGCATCCAAGCATACAATCGGAACATTTCATATTATCACAGCTGTTTTAGTGATCACACCTGCAAAATAAGTCACCATGGGCCCCAGAAAGTTTCTAGTGCCATCCCTGTGATAAAAAGGGGTGAGAATTAGTATGGAAATTAAGAAAGATTTTGAAGGGTTTGGGGCTAACCCTGAGATGCCTATGCCAGTTGTGGAATCCATTGTACCTACTTCAAAGATTAAGGAAATGTGTGAAAAGTGGGTTGAAGTGCAAACCTTTATGGATGAAAATTGCCCTAACACAGCTATTGCAAGCTGTGCTGGTGACTATTACAATGACAATGTTGTGGCCCATTTTAAACAAATCGTAAAGGAACGGGAGGTACAGAGCTCTATGGACAGATATGTTGTGCGACAGAGGTCCAGTGACTCTCAAGCTGGTCGTAGTGGCATTAAAAGAAGAAGGGAAGTAACCCCGGAAAAGAACTTGACACCTCAAGTCCTAATGGAAGGGGATTCCCCTTCTAAACACAACACCATCCACACACTCCCCTCCTCCCATCCCATCAATCATCACCAGGTAAGTGTCATGTAATTGTACATGTCTTCTTCAGTTTGTGTGCAGGTGAAATTGCCGACCTAGAAAATGTACAGAGAACTTTCACGGCGCGCATAACGGAGATAAAACACCTCAATTATTGGGAGCGCTTGAGGTTCCTAAACCTGTATTCCCTGGAACGCAGGAGGGAGAGATACATGATTATATACACCTGGAAAATCCTAGAGGGACTAGTACCGAACTTGCACACGAAAATCACCCACTACGAAAGCAAAAGACTTGGCAGACGATGCACCATCCCCCCAATGAAAAGCAGGGGTGTCACTAGCACGTTAAGAGACCATACAATAAGTGTCAGGGGCCCGAGACTGTTCAACTGCCTCCCAGCACACATAAGGGGGATTACCAACAGACCCCTGGCAGTCTTCAAGCTGGCACTGGACAAGCACCTAAAGTCAGTTCCGGATCAGCCGGGCTGTGGCTCGTATGTTGGTTTGCGTGCAGCCAGCAGCAACAGCCTGGTTGATCAGGCTCTGATCCACCAGGAGGCCTGGTCTCAGACCGGGCCGCGGGGGCGTTGACCCCCGGAACTCTCTCCAGGTAAACTCCAGGTAAAAAAAAAATTTTCAATACTTTGGGGTGTCACGAACAGATTAATTTGATTTCCATTATTTCTTATGGGGAAAATTAACTCAACTAACGATAATTTCGACTAACGATGAGCTCTCAGGAACAGATTAATATCGTTGGTCGAGGGTCCACTGTATTACTAAATTTAAAAGGAGAAACTTTCGTTTGTTCTTTTGGGCCACCCCACCTCAGTGGGATACGGCTGGTGTGTTGAAAGAAAGAAAGAAAGAACAATAATAATCACCGAGTCTCATTAAATGTCGTATATTAAGTTAATATACACATTTTTATTAATCCATCAATGACATTTTTTTCAAAATTATATAATAAACATAATACGTAACATATAAAGATGATAAATACACCCCACAATAGAATAAATAAACATAAATATAAGATTTGGGAGCCAGATGTTTACGAGTGGCTGCAAGAATAACATTTTCTCTAGTCCAACATCAGAGAAAATGTGTTACTGGGAGTAACTGTAGAAAATTATTCCTTTCGTATGTAATAAGTTTATTCAGGTATACGCAAATACAGTTACATAGATTATCATACATAACAGCATATGTGTAGAGAACCTAGGATAACCCAAAAAAGTCAGACAGAGTGACTTATTTCCATTGCCTTCACTGACAGCGTCATTTCTTCTAACAATGGTGTTACATGAGAATGGGAGTGTTCTTTATTTATTCTACTGTATCAATGTAGACAACTTCTACACATGTAACTTGTACACAAACCAGGCGTGTACACTGTTTGTTTACAAAACTTACGTTCGCCTGGTTTGTTTACATAACTCTGCGCCTGTCCTCTCTCATGTACTAATTCTCTCTCTCTCTCTCATTTATTCATTTTATCACGTTTACTCACCTCTGACCCTACATTAAGACTACAAATATTTTAAGGTTAGTAAGGAGTGAACTGTGTATGCATTTTATCACTCTGGGATGCTTAAATGTAAGAGAATATTACGTGTGGGTGGGGTGGCTTGGTATGGTAGCCCGGCTGACTACCATACATACCACACACGATTTCTTACAATAAATACTACTCATCTCACCCTAGATTAAGACTACAAATATTTTAAGGTAAGTAATGAGTGCACTATGTGTGCATTTTACTTTTTTATTGTTTTTTTGATGCCTAATTCTATTGCTAACTTAAAATATGTTAGTGTAAACTTGTTATCTAGTATTTGTATGCATTTATAAAGGGAAATAAAGGGTGTTCCACTTTACGGTGATTTCCGCTTTACGGCGGTAGCCTGGAACCTAACCTGCCATATAAGCAGGGCCCTACTGTACTCAAATGGTCACAATCACACTGACAGGTGAATATTTTCACCTGCCTTGGTCATTTACTATTGTACAGAAATATATACAAAGTATTTATAGGTCTCAGCAATGTTTTAGACATGCTGGAGTGTATGTGAAACTCCTTGAAGCATGATGTTTATGACGAGTCAAACTGCTGACAGGGTAAGCAGTGGTTTGACGCTGGATGATCGTACACTGCTGCAGAAAACCCTGGCTTCATTTGTTTTCACTGTTACACACAAATTTGTCTGTCTTTCTGTCTGTATGTGTGTGTGTGTGAGTGTGTATGTGTGTGTGTGTCTGTCTAGCTCTGCTCATCTGACTTTCTGTCTGCATCTTTCCGCCTGCTTGCCTCTGTCCCAGGGGCAGCTCATAAACTTGTTGGTTTACGAGCCGCTCCCAGATTCCCAAGCAAGTGAAAATGTGTATTACTTGCATCATGCTTATTATGCCTTATAGTATCTACAAGCACTTTATAGCACTTTGCCTGAAATTTTTGGGTTATCCAAGGTAATTTACACTATGTATAATAACTGTACTTACGTGCACGACAGACAGACAGACAGCCAGCCACAGCCAGCCACAGCCAGACAGCCAGACAGCCATTAAGACTCATTAAGCCGTTAAGACCCATTCTATAGTGACCAGGCATCTCAGGCCAATCATTCCGAATTTGGAGGCAGGAAAAATAAAACACAGATCTATGCTTGGAGCACAAGCGGTACAAACGTAGATCTACGTTTGGACAGTTTAAGGGTTAAATGTACTATACTTGATTAGTTAACAAGGAGCAGATGCATGTTAGTTATTCATTTTATATACAAGAATTATTTGCCACTTGTTTAACATCAATAATTACCATGTTCAAATGGAGAGAAGGTCCCAGCATCAATGTTAATGTATGGATCAATTTTAATGGATGTCACACGTAAGCCACAATGTTTAAGGATGGTGCCAACGCTGGACGCAATGACACCCTTTCCAATGCCAGATATTACCCCTCCAGTAACCAAGATGTACTTCATAATGATTAGTTATTAACTGAAAAAAAAAAAACTTTATTAGATAAAATAAGAAACAAAAAGGGATTTCTTTCCAGCTTCGCTAATTCCTTAAACTAGTGTAAAAATTTCATGAATAAATATTCTAATCATCAATTATAAATAACTAGCAAATTCAACTAGCTTCAGCTTTATGTCACAAGCAATAAAAACTTAGATCAATGTTGGAAATACAAACTCCTGAAGTATTTACTATGCGGCAGCAGCAGCAAAGTCTTTGCTCCTCATGTTTTACAATCACCAGAGGATATCATCAACCCGGTGATGGCCTAGCAAAGACGCACATAACACTAACACAAGTGAGACCCATAATGAGATAAATCAGACGAAGAAATCACTTAAACCATCCAAATCAACACAATTATACCAACCAAGAAGATTTGTCGCCCCACCATTCACTCCACTGCAAAGCGAAGTCAATCTTCTCAACATCTGCCCTCTACCCATACTCAACAAACCACCTGAACCCACTGTCAATGGCCAAGGGTCAGTCCAACAGAAGAAAATTCAGCAAACAAGTCAGAACTCAAAACAACACAGGTGAGGGGAACATTAATACCAGTACAGCATATCCTCCTCCCAGCAAGAAGGATGCAACCTACATTAATAGAACCATAAATTTACAGAACCATAAATTTCAATATTAATAATGGACTAAAACACTTGATAATTGCAACAGGACCCATAGACATAATACCAGATACAAAAATCACTATGACATTCCTCGTCTCTGGCTAAATCTCTTCAAAAAGTCAATGTACATAAAAGGGCCTAAAATTTGGAGCTCCCTGCCCAAAATCTCTAAAACTGCCGACTCAACCAGCATTTTCAAAACCACCATTAAAAAACACCTTATCTCCCTAACACACCCCATCATCAGCTAATTATGTGAAAACCACACATGCTATTTTCTGTATCATGAACACATCCTAAACAAAACAGACTTACTCTCATTATCCGTAACTCCCTATTTTACACTTACGCTCAGCCAACTGACTGTAAACATAAAATTCCTAATAGTTTTTGCCTAATTAATCTAAAGCTAGTCCTAAGTCTGTCTCAAATACTCTGCCAATATAGTTCTTATGGAAACAGTGTATCATGTCGAGATAAAACTATTTCAATTACTAAATTTATTAATGGTAACACAGTGGTACCCAGAGTTTCGTACAGCTCCCAACTCAATCGTGTAAGTGTATTATTGTAAGTGTTTTTTTAAGTGTATTTTTGGGGGTCTGAAACGAACTAATCTAATTTACATCATTCCTTATGGGAACAAATTCATTTGGTAACAGCACTCGAACAGCCTTCTGGAACGAATTATGACAAACTCAGGGTACCACTGTACTGTTATATGTTTTGAACTACCTCACTATTATCAGTCTTATTAATAAGAAACTTTTTAATTACTTAACTTTTATATTAATATGTATTAATGAACATTAAAATGTACTGTTCCATAACCTGTGTCAATACAGAGTACAGTGGACCCCCGCTTAACGATCACCTCCAAATGCGACCAATTATGTAAGTGTATTTACGTAAGTGCATTTGTACGTGTATGTTTGGGGGTCTGAAATGGACTAATCTACTTCACAATATTCCTTATGGGAACAAATTCGGTCAGTACTGGCACCTGAACATACTTCTGGAATGAAAAAATATCGTTAACCGGGGGTCCACTGTACAGTGGTACCTCGAGTTACGATCTTAATTCATTCCAGAAGGCTGTTCGAGTGCCGATACCAAATGAATTTGTTCCCATAAGGAATAATGTAAATTAGATTAGTCCATTTCAGACCCCCAAAAATACACTATCAAAAGTACACTTACATAATTGTTTGAGCTGGGAGCTGTTCGGAGCTCGAGGTACCACTGTAATCTGCAAGAATTAGGATTAGTCTACCCAAAATGTTACTGGCTTTCTTTCTAATTAATATTTTGTAATATGTAAACCACGCATTGTAAACTTTGCAAGGAAATATACATTTTCATTGATTTTCAACAAATACATGTACTTGCCACTTCATGACTCGTGTAACCGTGATAACATGACTGCAAACAAATTAGAGAAAGGTTGGGACTCCAACCCATGGCAGGTGAGTCCTAAAACTTGCAGACCAGTGTGTTAGCCACTGGACCAGCTAGCTCTAATAGGATTCATGACCTATGTGCCAGCCTTTGTTGGGTGTAAATGTGTTTGTCCATTCATATTTTTTTTTTTTTACACAGGGTTTGACAAGGTTAAGGATTCCTAACTTTACTGACAAGCTAAGAGCTGTTAACTACATCAGCTCATTTGAAAGCATTTTTATTGTTATGAGACATACAAGTAGGGAACAGCATGAAGTTGGAGCCATCTGTGGGCCAGCATTTTCATTCGATCAACCGACCATCCCATTGACATCATAATGTTGTACGAATGTGTTCCATACTCGAGTCATCGTGGGGATAAATGGTCTCAGATGAACTGATGTTCTGGAGAAGGGTACAGCCAGAGTGAAGTTGCTGCTTTCTGCCCATCTTGTGGTATAGAAGCTGCTTCACGCTGTCCTCGAAGTGGATCCAAGTGTGGTACTTTGACGCTATTGGCCTTGTACATAACAGTAAGGCCACCCGCATCCCTCCTGTGTTGAAGGCTCTGCTGAAATGACAGATCTATCCAGGATTGGTTCAGGTGAGAGATGAGACGTCTTGCTCTGTTCTCTACTTTGTCAAGCAGTCGCAGATGAGGGGGGTGGGGGGGCAGGCAAACCAAGAAAGTGGAACATACTCAAGGTGTGAGCGTACTTGTGCCTCGTACAGAATCTTGCAACCCCTACTGTCAAGCAGATGCGAGATATGGTGAAGTGCTGTAAGCTTCCTGGCTGCCTTGTTTGCAAGATTTACGTGATTCTTCATGGTCAGTTTGGTGTCAAATTTCACCCCAAGAATATCAACTTCTTCCCCGGGTGCCAACACCCTCCCATTCATCCTTACTACTGCTCTGGCATTACCATCATTGTGCCTAGAGATCATCATCATTTGTGTTTTCTCAGGTGCAAATGTTACTTGCCATTTATTTCCCCAAGTTGATATAGCTCTTAGCTGGTGATTGATGTAGCTTAAAGCAGTTGGCATCTCTTCTCTTGGATAAGTGAATGTCAGTGTACAGTTGACTGCATATGCATGGGATTCTGGGATGAGATGAAGGTCATTGAAGTAGACATTCCATAACAATGGTACCAGCACGCTTCCTTGTGGAACACTTGCCCCAACAAGATGTCTTGCTGATTCCATTCCATTTAAAACTACCATTAGAGATGGGTTGGTAGATAAGACACACGGGCAACATTTAGGCAACTTTATTCCGAGACGTTTCGCCTACACAGTAGGCTTCTTCAGTCGAGTACAGAAAATAGGCAGGAGCAGTAGAGATGTGAAGACGATGTAATCAGTCCATCACCCTTGAAGTCGTAGATTTGAGGTTGTCAGTCCCTCAGCCTGGAGAAGTTCTGTTCCAAAGTCTGGAACTAACTGAAGATCAAGCGACAGTGTTGAGACTTAAATACTGTCGGAAGGAGAGGTGCAGAGTAGTAGTAGTGAGAATGTAGCCGCTGGGAGGTCATGTCCTTCTCATATCAAACAATTCTCACTTGAAAAAATTGTCCAAGGTGTTTTCTCTTCTGTACCAAGATACCATTGTGTTGCAGTGTCTGAGATCTACCATGAAGTTAATCACCGAGGAAACAGTGTAGAGCCTGCAATTCCCAGAGCTTGCAGTTTTGCTAAGTGGCTCTGGTGCCACACCCGGATGAAAGCACCAGCAATGTCCAGTGCTACCACACAGCTGACTTTGGATTCATCCAGCAAATCCAGCAGAATAACCTTTCCTGAAGCCATATTGATGGTCACAAAGCAGTGAGTGGTAATCAAAAAACTCTGTCATTTGTCTTGAGATTATTGTCTCCAGGATCTTGCCAGTGAATAACAGGAGTGACACTGGTCTGTAGTTGCTGATTTCTGCTCTATTCTTCTTTTTGTGAAAAGGGACTACATTTGCCTCTTTCCACAGAGGCAGCTATTTACACTGTACTAGGCAGTGCTGAAAGATGCGAGTTCGAGGTGCTGCTAGCTGGAATGCACATCATCTCAGCAATCTTGGCTCAACTTGTCTGGGCCCACAGCCTTTTCTTGGTCAAGCAATTTATGAAGAAAATGCACCTCCTCCTGCCTTATTGTCACCACTGACAGTTTTGACACAGTTCTTGCAGCTAGCCAACGAGGGTCCCTTGCTGGATCAGGAACTTGTATTTTGTTAGCAAAGTGTTCGGCAAAGAGGTCCGCTTTCTCTTGACTACAAGTAGAGATGGTCATATCCTGTCAACTTAGAGGTGGAATGAGTTCATCAGGCAGATAACCTTGTCTGTCCTTGACCAGGGACCACCAGGTTTTGGAGCCTACCCTACCTGATGCTAGCTTTCTTTTTGTGTCCACCTCCCATTTAGCGATGGCCCACTTTTTAACATCACTCACATGCCTACAGGCTTGCCTGTGCAAGTTCCTGTTATAGGTGGTAGGATGTCTCTTATACCTTCGCCATGCCTTGTACTTAGCAGTAGCATCCTCTCTACAACGAAAGCCAAACCAAGGCTGATCTATAGGCTTCGCCACATATTGCCGGTGAGGAATGTGTTCTTGTTGTAGATTAATTCTTTCAGGGTTTCAGCCGTACTAGTACGGCTTATGCACCAGGATTTTTGACATACTAGTACGCCTAAATTCTAGCACCCTCAAATCTAGTGAGAGAAAGCTGGTAGGCCTACATATGAAAAAATGGGTCTATGTGGTCAGTGTGCACAGTATAAAAAAAAATCCTGCAGCACACAGTGCATAATGAGAAAAAAAAAATGTTGACCGTATTTTTAGATTAAAACAGCGACTTTGCACTGTATTTTCATATGGTATTTATTGTATTCTAGTTTTCCTGATCTCATTTTA